AAGCCATACATAATTTAAATTAACTGTGCTGTGTGCAAAACTTTGCTTCAGCAAACTAAAATATGCCTAGGTCTTGATTTTCTTCAAACCCGGAATCGCATTTGAATTTGCCATTTGATTGCTTGAGTTTGTGAAGGGTGGACCAGAATAATTCTGAAATGAACATGCCTGAGTCGAAATCAACACAAGATTTGGCTAATAAAAAGAGAGGAAGAGCTCCCTCAAGGGTTTGTAAGGTAACAATGATGTGAAAGTTCTTGAATCATACTTTATGAACTAAAATATGACAATGAACAGAAGGTAATTAATTAGAAAGTGTAAATGACTTTGGGATCTCCTAGTGTCTTTCCAAAGTGCGAGTATGAGTTAACAATATGCAAAGAAAAAACCGACGCTAGGATCATAATAGCTAAACTTACAATATTTGACAATGAATTCAAGTTTCTATATTGGAAACATCTGCACAAACTGTAATATAATTTTGTATGCATTCTCAGTTGCAACTCCCTTCTTCATTTTGAGACACAGTAAGCTTACCAGAAAGCAGTAAGAACGACTGGACAGATTGGAAATGCATTGGCTTATGTTAATATAGAATTGTCTCAGACTTTGATGGTGTGTTTCATAAACTATATAGGCTGTAGGCTCATCAGGTCAGGGCCTGCTATACAGATTAAGGTATACCAAGGTTTAAACAGGTTAGCAATACAAAACTGCTAAAAATGTGCATCATACTGTTTCTCTACTTTAAAGGCTTTTTCTTAAGATTCAAAGAGAAAGTTCTGTGGAAAGTTTTTTGCTGGCTATTTCGAGCGTAGAGCTGCCGCTTCCTCTTTCTGACCATGTGTTCTGCTAGTCAGCTGCCTTAAAGTTACATCTTTCTGTCACGTATGAGAAATGCAGCTTAGGCTATTTGGAAATATTATCAATCGCAACTAACAGCGATTGATAATATTTCAATCGCTGTTGAAATATGAAGCTGTACAAACTCGAGGAACACCGCCCTTCCCTCTTAACAGGCTACAACTCAGCTTACCATCATCAGTGTGTGAATGTGCGTATGAATGAGTGGATGACTTGTGTAAAGCACTTTGGAGCTCTTGGACATGATGAAGTGCTATACCAAGGAATCTACCTGTGGATGCAGCTGGTACGCTCCAGCAGCGAAAGGGAAGCTGTGATACTTTCCAAGCACAGATCAGCATCCATTCAACACCTTTTATCACAGCCCACTACACACAAAGAGATCAACATATGGCTGTAGGCCCTCTCTCCCCGGCCAGAGCAACAATCACAGCATATAATCCGTATCAATATTTTAACGATCCCACAAGGCAGCCTTTTTAGAACTTGTTGAAATAATCATGAGATGCTTGTTGGGTAATACACTTTGCTTCAATGAGTAAGTGGTGTGAAAAAAAAAAAAGAAAAAAAAAAGCTGAAAACCAACGAGACAGAGGCAAGCCAACAGAGACAGCTCATTATGTATGCACTACAGCGAAACCAATCTTTGTTGAGCCTGTCCTCGATTGTTTTTAAAGGATACTTTACTGGACGCAATCAAATTAGCAAGAACATCACTGATACGGGGTAATAACCCTAAATTGAATTTCTGCACAGGCTAAAGTGTCCCCCCTTTTGCAGAATCAATTGCTGTGAAAAGAAAAGGAGGGCAGGGAGAGGGTATTCATAGTTAGCAGACCTTTAAAAAGTACACCAGAGATGAAGGCATGAGAGGGCTATTTTCACGCTCCGGGGCCTGCCCGTCTGCCTGCCCACTACTACACCAGATGCAGTCTCTCCAATTATGCTAGCTGGTTTGAATTACCTTCGAACTCCCCTCGTTTTCCTGGGTGAGGCTCCCGCTGCTACATTTGCATGAATTCGACTGTTTTTGGTACCACGAGTCGCAACACAGCGTGCTCTGGCAGCCTTGTGTCTGTGCTAAGTGAACACACACTATGACAACAACAAGCAATTAGCCAGACAGCCTCTTGTTAGCCGTGCCACTGGCTGACACCGCCGTGTGTTACGCTGACGTGAGCCAAGGATATCACTTTACTCAGCGAACTGTTGTGGCTCACTCGTTACTGTAGCACAATGACATTTTGTCCATTTTGCTGACACTCAGAACAACAAATAGGGAGATGTTTGATGAAAACACTCTTAGGCGTTTAAAAGTTAAGAAGGGTCAGAGGTCAATGCAACACTGAAGGAGCCCTTGTTTTTTGGCATTAGATTAAACAAAAACTAACCGGTATGCCTGTGTGCAGTACTAGGTAAGTACCAGACAGCGTTTTGCTGAGGGATATTTAATGGGCTGATTTCTAAAGCCAGATAAGGCTGAGGCTAACTGTATGACATCCTGCTCATATGTTATGTGTTTTTCTCCCCCAAGTATTGTTCTTACAATGTAATTGTTGGCAAAGCCCGCAAAGTGAGATCGTATGTAGTGATATGAGGACGCGCTGAAGTTATTGGGCTATGATGACAGTGGAATACAGAGAAGGTCACAGCCGCTAATCCCTTGATGGGATTGCCATAACCAAGAGACGGTCACCCACATAAAAATATGAACACAGTTTTCTGACTTGCAAGGAAAAAATAAGTAATCAATTTGACCTTTATTAGTCATCCCTCTGGATAATGACTGTGGGGCTTGACTGAAAACAGAAAACCAAAGAAATGCACATTCACATAGCAATTCAATACCTACCCAATCATTAACTGTTTTTAGACTCTCTTTCGGTGCCAAAACACACCTTATCTGTTTACATACGGACTCCACAAGACCTCTGAAGGTGTGCTGTGGTGCCTAGCACCAAGATACTTGCAGCAGATGCCGTTAAGTCCTATAAGTTGCAAGGTGGGACCTCAATGGATGAAAATTCCTTGTCCAGCACGGCACACAGATGCTTGATTGGATAAAGGTCTGGGTCAAGTCACTTTGCTAGATCATAAGTGGATGTTAATTTGAAATCCACATGAATGGAAGGATTCAAAGACTCGCAGTAGAACGTTGTTCAAACCATCACACTATCACTGCATCAGTGACGGTGTGATGGCTCACCCTGGTGTTCATCAGGGTAGGATTAGGGTTAGGGTTAGTCTACCACACTCACCCGGACACTGTGTGATGTTAAATGAAATGTGATTTATCAGACCAGGTCAAGCCTTTACACACTGGTCTAGTTCTGATGATCATGTGCCAGTTGTTGGTGCTTTGGGTTGTGGACATGGGTCCCTGACAGGTCTGCAGCTATATAGCCCCACACGCAACAAAATGCAATATGTATTTTCACATAAAATCAACCTCAAGATCTTAAGCAATTTGATCTTCATTTGCTTAAGATCTGACCACACCGGAGAAGCGTTTCTTCCTATGCACATCACCCGAGGCTACTCATGAACTTGTAATCAGTTTGCCAATGATCCTTTCTTAGATCCCTTTTGATAGATAGTACCACTGTAGACAGAGGACACCCCTCACAAGCTACAGATTTGTAGATGTTTTGACATCTAGCCATTACAATTCTACCTTTGTCAAACTGTCTCAAATCCTTTTGTTTGCTTTTAACTATTAGCTTTGACGACAAAATGTTCTCCAGATGCCTAATACACCCCACCCACAAACACAATGTAGAGATAATCAGTGTTATCCACCATTTATTCACCCTTTCAGTGATTGTAATATTATTTTATATACCACAACCAATAGATGAAGATCTGAATTCATCTGCATTATTAGACAATGTGTGGTGGGATATCGTTTCAGCTTCTAATAAGCCAAACAACGTTCACACTGCATGTACCTTTTGTCTCATTGTACTCCGTTACAGGGGAAGTCTATAGTATCAAACCTGACTTCAACTAATTCACTTAGTGCTCCAGTTAGCAGAGAGAAAGTGAATCATTGTGTGAGCTACAATAGCCCATTACCTGTGAGTTAAAGAGCTCCATCAGTCCACGACACCTCCTCCCCATCTTCCCCCCCAGTGTGGAGAACGAGTTAGGCACTGAATGCCAGACAGCAAGTAATGAGCAGGCCGCAAGCCCATTTGTGCTGGGAGAGAATAGGTCCCTAATGAACCACTGAAGACACTTAGGTCCACTGAGTCAGGACTGAAATGTGCAGCTGATGGCCAATAGGAGCTTGTGCCAATTCCACCAGGAAAAAAAAGGGGGAAAAAATGACATGAATTTGGAAGACAAAACTTTCTTTGTAGATTTTGTATGTTCGCCAAAGACTGATGATGTGTCAGCCACAGACCAGCTGGGAAAAAACTTTACGGTTACAAAAATATGCCTTCTTTGTCCCCATGATGACATACTCAGTCTCTTTTTATTCACCGTGTCAGGCAATGCTATCAAACCAATCCAGGCCATTTGTTTCTTGTTTTTTATGACAACACAAGCTCTTCTCCTGGAGTAAAATCTTTGGGTACGTGAGGAATGAATACTCAGTTGCAACATAAGTCTCAGCCATGCCACTATTTTGTATTTTGAAATACGAGAAGATAACTTCCTCACTGCACTTTCTTAGTCGGAGCAGAAAAACTGCACTCCCAGTATTTCTCATCGAGGTCGTCAAGCTCTCCCCACTGCACCTCAAGGAAAAGGTCAAAGCGTCTTTGCTTTACGAAATCATAAAAAGTCATAAAAAGAAAACATCTCAATGTCAAAGATTTAAAACACTGTAAAAACCAAACTCAAATGGCTTCCCATGAAAACTAGGCCACTGCTTATGCAGCGAGAGCATCTGTATGACTAGAAAAAGAGTCTCTGTCGACTTGTCTGTTTAGACGGACAGAGTTTAAACAGGGAGGTTTACGATTCCCATATTACAGGCATGATATGCTGGGGAGTGCCCTCATTTGAACTGCTGTTTGGCCTAATGAAGCCTTTGTTGAGAAAAAAAAATTACAAGCCTACAGCTTGGTGACAGACGGTAGTAATTCCCTCAATGGTAATGAAAGGATAGGAGAAGTGGAGACACCCACCCACTGCGTGGACGGCCAGCATTGCGAGCAGCAGGAGGGCTAGCATGATGCTTCAGGATGGATTCAAACAGCGGGTCCACGTCTTCAGACACAGCACTGCAGAGGGGAAAAAAAACTGAGATTCAATATGAGAAACGTTTAAATAATTAGGACAATACAGTAACATGGCAATATGGTAAGAAATAACCTGGAATATGGTGCAGAGTGTGATCCAGGGCAAGATTTTGCAAAGAAACATCTTTAGGTACTATGAGCTATGACTGCAAGCCCTTAATGGAAAGGGAGAGCTTTAATGTTGATATGTAAATATGTTTGACTTTTATTTTGAAGGATAAAGGGAAGTCATTCCTGCATTGTTTCCCCTATCTTGCTGAAACACTTGGTTACATGAAGAAGTCTCTGTACTGCTTTGAAATTATTTGTCTGGTAGCATATTAGGCACCTTCTAAAAGACAAGCAAGCACTGTCAGAACATGATTACCATTAGCCGCTAACAAAGCTAAAGCTATCGGCTAACTTCCCATTGGTGCTGAACTAAGGGGCTATTTCACTGTTTCACAGAGTCTGACCTGTAATTAATTATATAAGTTAAAAGCCTAAAATGCTTAGACTGCTCAAAACTGAACATTAAGTATTTAAAGCTGAAATTCAGATTTAAGAAACCTTACTCTCCACTTATAGATACACAAAAATGGGTCACCTCAGAATTACGCAACACAAACATAATAGTGAAACATAGACTACACCGACTTTTGAAGCCTAAAATTAATTTCTGTTTATTTCGCCCCCAAAACACTAAGATTTTGTCATACAAAAAATGTAATGCATCGTTAGTCCATGGGGGATGTGGAAAGAATTTTGACAAGCCTATGATGCTGTACCACCCAGTATGAACATCTTTGAAGACTGAAATTGTTTTTCTGAAGAAAAAAATCTGAAGTTTCCTCTGAAGGTGACTACCTCAGCTTGTTTTTCTCTGGCTTCCTTTAGGCTTTCTTTTCCTTTTTCTTTCAGTAGAAAAAAAAAAGCTGTAATGACAAATGGGGACTTCCAAAGTTGAGTGGAAACAGCCAAGTCATACTCTCTGCTTTACAAGTAAAAAAAAAAAACACTACTTTAGGAGGAAACAGAGACAGAAAAGGCTATCTTCCCTCTTCTCTACCCTCAAATGTATTCAATATTTATGTTATATCCATCTCTGCTACACTGGTGGAGGTCACTGTTTGTCTATAAATTACTAAGAGAAAATCGTCACTGTGATTTTTTTCTTCTCCCTGAGATAAGAAGTCATCATTTAACAAAGAGAGACCAAAAACACTTGGGATATCTCAGTTGAACCTTCTTAGATGTACAGGTTCATCTAAAATAAAATGGGGAAATTGTGAAAAACTCCAATTTTTTTCTGCCACTCCTTTCAGATATTAAACCTCATAAATTACATAGCTCCATTATGCATGGAGTGAAATATTCGTAGCCTTTATTTCTTGTAATTTTTATGATTATGGCTCTCAGATAATGAAAACCCAAAAATCAGTGTCTCAGAAAATTAGAATCTTCCCCAACATCAATAAAAAGGACATTTTAGGCTCCTGAAAAGTATTTTCATCTTTATGTACTTAGTATTTGGTTGAGCCAAATAATTCCTGCATGACTTGCAGGAATTACAAATTCAATGTGGCATGGCATGGAGGAGAGCATCCTGTGACTGTGCTGAGGTGTTCAGGAAGCCCATAGCAACCTGATCTCCCTCATCTTCCTTTTGACAATAGGTCAGGAATAACATTTCTTATCTAAATGCCAACATGTTACAATTACCATAGAAATTTTTTTTAATATCTTTTGTAAAAATAGAAAGAACATAAAAACCCTCATCCTTGGCATGCATGCAAGATTGATTTTAACATGATGGATTTTAAAGGCTTTTTTCATTGAAGTGTGATTATAAAGAGCACAACTTCAACAAATTTTAAAAACATGAATTTGGGGTACAAGTGTTAATTAAATTAAAGCTTTCTCTAGAGGGGATGTGGAAATTATTGTAGAGCCGAAACTTCAAAAGCGTTTTGCATGTTTGCCTTATTAAAATAAGGGCAGTCTTGTCTGTTTTTTTATTTTAGGCTCAATTTAGAAAGGAGGGGAAGGAAATGTCTATTCTCAGCTATAAGAACAGGATATGGTTTACTTTCTTTGAAAAAAGTAAAACTTATTGAATAAGATGTAGGCCAATTTACTACAAACTAAAAGAGAGTGGAACACCTTGGACAGCCGTAGGATAGCCTAGTAAAAAAAGACTAAATACAAATTGTTTGACTTTATCTCCAAGAGGTTTTAACTTGGACAGAACAGAGTGTGCCAGCAGAGAAGAGCTCACAAAATATCACTGAAGAAAGTTTAGAAATAGATAAAACGAGCTAACATTAAACTTCTAAACCCTAACTTTATTAAAAGTTTTTGGATTTCACCTGAAAGCTGAGTGAGTGTCAGGAAAGAAATCAAATGAAATATTTAGGCAGAATCACACGAGGACATTGTTAGTGGGAGCAAAAAGCATCGGTTTTCCAGCTATGGTTTCATGAACCAAATATTAGTGTGCGTGTGTATGTACATATTTGAGCCCCAAAGTTTAAAACTTATACACCTACCTGCTGTTTGTTAGTTATTTGTTGTATAATCATACCACAACAAATAACTAAACAGAAAAGAAACTCTGATCGAGACAAAAAAAAAAATATATATATATATATAGTAATATCAAGGCCAGACAAAATTAAATATCAAAAATACAGGCATCTCTCGAAAGAGAAAAAATAAAAAGCAACATATTTTTAGCACCAAAAAAAACTTGCAGCATTAGCACAAATACATTTCTTTAATTTCTTTTTACATAAAGAAATGAAATGTCAGAGGCTTGTTTCTTATGAGACGAGAGCCACCCAACAGCTGCTCTAACCACTGTCTGCTTGGGATGGTGCCCAACGAGCTGCCTGGTGGATATTCCGCTTATCAGCTGTTATGACTTGGTGTTATGAATCATTTCAGCTGTGTAGCTCCACCCCATGGTTCACCCAAAGGATTTTCCATGCGCCTCCTTTTATAGCTTCAGCAGAAAGGATGTGGGCTGAAATTGAGGCTCGGCATTCAGTTTCCATCACAGCTTTGCTTGCCGTTTGTTCAACAAAGGTCCAGACAGAAGGACAAGTAGAAATATTTGTAAGATTATAAAAAAAAAAAACTCCACCACAGAGAGAGGGCAGGAAAAGGTTTATTGAGCTGAGATTCAGAAGAGGGAATAAACAGTCAATGACAGAAAAGAGCAGATGCATACCACAACTATCCTGAAGCAGAAATCTGCCGGCAGCACGGACCACAGAGTCTGACTCAGGCTGGCCAGACAGCAGGAAGCCAACAAAGGGGTTTTCACCAAATGAGTCAAGCACTTTGCCGCCACCTTGCCAGCGTGCGTCCTCTATCCTCCCTTTCATTTCACCACTCACCTCAGAGGAAGCGATTAAAACAAGCTGAATCAACTCACACAAGTGAAAAAAACTCAAAGAAAATCAGGTCGGTATTTAGGATCAGGGAAAATAGTCGCTATCGCTGCTGTACGCCGATGTGTCAAAACCATGACCAGCTTGCAGGGATGTTACCGGCATTAGCTTATAATGGTGCCATTTAAAGCCCATTACGTCTGAGAGGAAAGAAGTCGCTGAAAGACTGTGTGACATCCTGAACGTGTGGCTTCCTTTCGGAGAATGGCTGTCAGCGCATGAGTCATAATCATCCATGTATTTCATTTTGTCACAATGTAAAGGACTATTAAACTTTATATGGAGGTCAAAAAAAGATAAGCGCTTTTTTGGGGAGTTTGCACAGATCATTAAGATTTAAAGTAATGCCGCAGCACCCCGGTAGGCTTTAGGGAAATTTCACTGAAGGCTAGGTTTCTTCCAACAGTTTGGTATCTATGTTTCTCTTTAGTCCACTCCTTTGTTTTTTTTTTTGTTTGTTTGTTTTCCAATACAAACATAATGAATATGGCTAGCGTTCAGGACAGTGGCATATGAGTTGGTTCACAGCCAAGCTCCTTAAACCGTTCGAAACTATTGATCCTGTGAAGACACGGACACTTCTAACCCGCAAAACGAGCACTTTAAACTGGTACCAAAATTTAACGAGCCCTCAGGATGACTCAGGTCATTTGGTATATTACTTTTTCAAATTATACATTAGGCCATCAAAATGAAAGGAAGAGCTCCATAAATTTGAAAGGAGTATTTAATAGGAAGAGTTGCGTAACAAAGAAAACTTTAAATAAAGCTACACAAAGGTTGGAAGTTTATATTTAGCAACAAATGGATAGTATCACAGAGCTAACTGGTTGATCACAGACTGAAACGTTGTAATTTTTAAACTGTCTGTTTTCCCCCAAATCTAGTTTGAGAGCCACTGCTGCAGAGATTTTAAGAGTACATGGACTGAGGCCTTTCTTGTGTTTTGTTGGTTTCGCTCTGTAAAAGGTATTATTTTTCATATGTTTCTGCATGTGTGTGCATAAATATACTATTTTGCCTTAAGAAGTAATCATACATACATATCATTAAAAATGTGAACCATTTGTCAAGTTAGAGGTAAAATCTTCTTCTCTATGTAATAGAGCAAAACAAAGTAGGTAATAACGGTGAAAATCGATAAATCGCTATCAATAAACCGATTTCCTTAATTTTACAATACTTACATGTGAGAATCTTATCCCCCGATCTTATCTTCCTTCCCACATTAATGAAAATTAGCCAATTTAGCAACTTTTTAAACAAAAACATTGGAATTGATCAAATCTGGAATCAGCAGATCAGGTATCTTAAAGATTGGTGATTGGCAAGAGGACAGAAAACTGCAATTGGTGCAACTAGTAAAACATTATTCATGTACTGACCCTCTTCTAATGTCGTACCCCTAAATGACATTTAGTCAGGTGAACTGCCTTCAGAAATCACAGAAATAGTGAAGAGCTGGTGCTTAAAAGCTTCAGGGATGGTTCAAGAATGAAAAACTAACAATAACCAAAGCAGGGAAGGCTTATAAAACAGCAACCCAAACTTTGACATTTCATAAAGCAGGGTATCGTCTAATTAAACTGCCAGGCTGAAGAGAATGAGAATTAGACAAGACGGCTTTGAAAGCTCTGGAGGAGTTGCTCAGATCCACTGCTCAGGTGGGAAATATCAGCTATGCAATCAACAAGCCATTGATAGAGGGACAGGAGAAGTCACGAGCCACAAAGAAAATGTAAAGGAAGGGGAAAGTTAACGTCTTGGTAAACATGAAAAATATTACATTTTTGGGCAGTTTTTCTTCAGCGAAAGTGGTCAAAGTAGGTTGGATAATGGACAAGGGTAGTAAAGGGAAAAAGACCTGATACAATGAACCTAAACGTAAAGCTATAGGAATGGTTCAGATACATGGTTCTCACACAGTGGTACACTTTCCACTGGTGACTTTTAGTGTATGTTTTGGAATCAAATATTTAATTTCAATATTATAAGCCATGAAACAGAAAATAGGTAAATAATCGAAGCCCAGTGATCTTTACTTCACACACAAATAAAGTACAGTGGAGAATATGTTAAGAAGAGATGATCAGAAGCAGTAATAAGTGTCAGTATAAATGGCAACAGCACCAAATATATTTTAACCATGTCCTAGTTGCCAACAATCACAAAGATTTGCCGATGCCTAACACAATGACCAGACTAATTAAACACAGGTTGTTTCTATTTATTTGTGTGAAAGAGTCCCTGTGGTACAAACTGCCAGAAGTTCAAATAAATGCTTGTTATCACTCTTTTCCCAACGTTTTAAACACTTGGCAGCCATATTGAATTTTGAGATCAAAGTTATTGAGTATTCTCTTGACTGCAGGTAACAGAATAATTTAGTAATTAGCGAGGTTATGAAAAGTATGAGAACCACTGGTTTGGATCAATATTTATACACAAGTGCATGTTGTGTGTGTGTAGGTTTTGGATAAGGTGGTGTTATACTGTACCCAAGAGCCTTACTTCCTAATTTACAAAGAATCACAGCAAATATTGAAAATAAACTCTCAAATAACTATTTAAAAAATGGGTTCAATTTTAACAGTGTGCCAATTATTAACCAAAGAAATCATATCATAAGCAGGTGTTACTGATCACATGAATGCTTTCTTTTTATTTGACTTATTTTTTGGTATATTCCATTAAGATTAAAAAAACATATTTCCCAAAAGAGACCTGGCAGAGACAGGCAGCAACTAATTAGCAGGAGTTCACCAATAAATCGGCCAGTCGGTACATCTTTCCCAATGACAGAACCGCCCACCAGGTCACAACTGCATGTGTGTTTAACAATAGTCACCTCAATGTTGTCAACCTGGTGACTTTGTTGCTAAGTTTAGCAACACTTCAGTACAAATAAAAATCAACATCAGAATTGGCAGGTCAGGACTTTAAAGATCGACCAGAAAACTACAATCGGTGCACCCTTACTAATTAGTGCTCTGTTTTAAAATGAGGGCAGCATGAAAGTTCCTGACTTTTACCAACTACTTTAAGTGTATCCATCTATACACATAAAGACACAGTATATGATTTGTTAATGTACAACATAAAAATAAAAATCAACATTTGTTATAATAGTTCCATTAAGAAAACAGTCTGGTAGACAGACCTGTGTAAATACTCACAACACATTTTTGTTCGTCCTTCATAAGCATGTAAACATTTGGTGTTGCAAGACTGATAATTGCTTACACAGCACATGGGGGGGAAATTAAGTCACATGTTTTTCTGTTATGTGTATTAGTAATAAGTGAAAAAACTTGTTGAGAGAGTGTCTCAACAATGTTCTAACCACTGGAATGTTCTAATCACTGCTTGAATTAAATGGGTAATTAAGGAACTGGTAGAGAAGAGAATGCTAGTCGTATAAGTGGGTTAAAGGGTAAAGAAAAATGGGATTCAGCCTGAAGAGACGAGGATATAGTAACTACTATTGCTCCAGTTCATCAATGGTTTTGCTCAGCATCTTCCTTATCTTTTCATTTATCCTCTGGGTTTTATGGCTCTTCTTATCGTTTGTATCCCTTTCTTTATGTGTTTGCTTGTTCCTGAATAAACAATTTTCTTTTTGAGTTCGCTGTGTCTTGCTTTTTAAGAAAATCTCCTTTGTTGTTGCCTTAAACAACCTTTTTGTTGATACGTGTAGGGGGTAGTTTTTGCCGAACGGGGGCGCAGTCCGTTTTATTTAACGTTAGCTTATTAGCTCTTTTTAAACTGTATCCTGTGCTTTGAACGTCTTTGAAGTGAAAACCCCGGACTAAGCCTGGCTTTGGAGCCTGTGAATAGAGCTCCTGGGGTGGTTATGAGAGGCTCTGTCTTTCTTCAAGTTTTCACGGTTCCATTTGCTCCACATCTGGTGCTGCGTTTACTTCCAAAATAACCAAAGTTTACGGTTATTCATGATGTTTCTTAAGCAAACAGGGGATAAGCTCCCTGTTAGTTTGTTGTTGTTTTTTTTTAGCTCACACACATTTCATGCTTAGTGTTTTAGAAAGACGAAAGTTAAAACTCACCGACCGTCCAGCGGAGGTGGCTCTCTCCTCTGTCCAAACGATGTTATTTTCCAGAGCAGTTCATTCCTCTCACAACAAAGCACCGCTAGAAACGCAGCCCACGCACTTTGATTTAGACGGCAGATAAAATTACAGGGATTTTTTCCCTGTTGTGTTGTTTCATTGATTTGGGGGCTTCTCTTGGAAGAAACCACTCCTTGCTGCTTTGTCCAGCGGTGATGTCATGCGGAGGCTCCGCTGTACCGACCCCCTTAACTCTTTAACCGTTTAGTGAACACAGCCTGGAAGGCGATAGGTCTAAAGAAACAAGACATGTGAACATTCATTAAAATTAACAACAATTACAGATGGATAAAGCCATGCAAAATCATCATAACAACCTTCCCTGATAAATTCACTAATAAGCTATCTCAAACCAGGATTGCAGCAACATTTGTAAACTTTCTTTTAAAAAAATAAATGTATATGTGTTCCAGTTTTATTGAAATGGCAATGTTTCTCTCAAGTACAGTAAAGCGTAATGAATTATTAATTTGAAATTATTAAATGCACGTTTATGTCCTTATGTAACCATTGGCCCATCGCATGCGTTTAAATATCTCCCATTGATTATAACAATACCGGCTCAGATATAATAAAAATATTACTTTATTACTGAATCATAAACATAGGACCCACTTAGTTAAATATCCTTGTCTGTGTTTTTTTAGTTATCATCTGAAATAATCTTTGCAATATTCTTTTGTAATTGTATTATACTTAAATAATAAAATTTTAAATAATACAATTTTAAATAATAAAATTTTGATACAGTTAACATAATGCAATTATGGCTGAAGATAAAGCAGTACTTGTTCTTTTAAAGTACTTTGAAACGGGATTTGTTGTAAATTGGTGCTACTGAACTGAGCACGTTCAAATAATACAAACAAAATGAACAAAAATAGATTCATAACGCCACGTAAAAAGAATCATTTAAATCTAGATAGATAGATAGATAGATTTTTGCGTTTACAACGACGTAAGTAGAATTTCCTTTATTCACGTGGCCGAAGTGAACGTAGCATAGGTCACGTGGCAGAAACACGGAAGTCAGTGTCTGTAAACAATAAAACGGGTGAGTGTGCATTTGTTTCACTGTAGCTCGCAGATGTAGATTTAAAAGCCGCTGTGCATGACTTGTGTTTATCTGTTATAAACAAAAAAGCCCCCCAAAAAACAAACAAAAAAATCAATACCTTACGAAACCTTCATTTGTACTTTTAAAAATCGTTTCTTTATGTAGCGCCTAAGCATCTGCTAACAGTGGTTCAGCTGTTTTGCTAGCACAAATTTTCATTTATAAGTGAACAATTTAGTCAAAAGCAATGCGAAATGGCAACGTTTTGCTTTGCTCTGATCGCCATTCAGAGCAACCTGAATGATTAAATTTAAGATTATCTGCCGTGTCTTCAGAGCTTCTGCTAATCTGAGTTGTGGTTGTATTTTGGGTTACAGCTGTGCACGTCAAAAAGATGACCTCTTCAGATTGGCACCTGTCGTTAAAGCTGGTGGATCAGCCCAAATCCACCTTCCACTTCCCGGAGATGATGCCCGGGGATGTCCCACCAGGAGGATACAGAGTGGCCACGTTAAAGCAGCTCGTAGCAGCCCAGCTTCCAGACTCGGTCCCAGATCCTGAGCTAATAGGTCTGTCAGTAGTATGAATAAATAAACTGTGAATATCTTCGTTTTCTGGGCTTCACTGACCTGTATGGTTTACAACACTATCACATGTTTAAATTACACCTAAAGTGTCCCATCTGTCCAGAGCTGGTTCATTGCGGGAGGAAACTGAAGGATGATCTTACACTGGACGCCTGTGGAGTTCAGCCAGGTTCCACCTTACACATTCTCAAAAAGACCTGGCCGGAGCCAGAGGGGAATCCAGGTCCGTGGATGTCGCTTCGATAATGAACAGTGCCTAATCTCTATTGTAAATTACACAGAAGATCTGATTGTGAATGTGTGTGTGATCTTTTCTACAGAGCCTGTTAACAGAGCAACAGCAGCCAGAGAGTTTAGAGTGTTTCACGCTGCTCTTCATTCACTCAACTCTGCCTATAGAGACTCAGTGAGTAGATTTTCACAAATACTCCTTCTGCTGTATTTTGTCCCGATATTTCATTTTGGTTTTTCTACTGAGGTTTCATGTAATGGATAATATAAAGAAGTGCATAATTGCAAAATGAAAGAAAAACATAAATACAATGCTATATATATTTTTAAATATTCCACAAACAAAACAAAAAGCAATTGTGGCTTAACTTTGCATTCAGCGCCATTTACTCCAGTACCCTTTAATTAAGCGACTTATTTGTTCATAATTTGATCTAAATAAAAATTAAAGCTATTTGGTGAAGAAGAATGGGCAAAAACTCCCATCCTTTTTGATAATCTATCACAAAACATCCTTATATTAAATGTTGAATATTAGCTGATATTGATGTCTGTTTTGTTTTTTTTCTTCTGCTTTGAGGTTTACAAAATGCTGACAAACAAAGAGTCTCTGGATCAGATCATCATAGCCACTCCCGGGCTCAGGTCAGACCCGGTTGCTCTAGGTAAGACCCAGCAGAACTCCACAAGACACTTATAGCTCTGCATCTTATCGCAACTTGTAACATGTTCGCTTTAAACATTCAGGAGTGCTTCAAGACAAAGATCTCTTTGTGCAGTTCACGGACCCCAACATGCTGGACATGTGAGTATGACTCTTAGCTTTTTTTAATTTTTAATTTTTTTTTTTTTCCAGGTGTCATGTGACAAATAATATGACACTTACAGTGCTATTTCTGCTGCAGTCTAATCAGTTCACATCCGGCCCTGGTCAACGCCATCATCCTGGTCCTACATTCAGTTGCTGGCAGTATGCCGGCCCAGTCCAGTGCCGGCTCCTCCCGAAATGTTTCTGCCAGTTCTTACAGTGACATGCCAGGTGAGCCATGAGATTGATATGTGTGAATGCAGTAATGTTTTCACTGAAAGCTAACAATTGTCGTGTATGTTGAAATAGTCTAGAATTAGCAAGGCTGCAGCTAACGATTATTTTAGTAACCAGTTAGTCTGACGACTAATCGATTATTTGGATTTTAAAACTGGTGCGTTCTGCTGGTTTTTCATTTAACCACTTTAGTCATCTTTATATAATATTAAAAGTACATTGAAAGATTCAAGTACACAAAAACAATCAATCCATCCATCCATCCATTTTCTGAACACCCTTGTCCCTCAGTGGGGTCGGGAGGGGTGCTGGTGCCTATCTCCAGCTAACGTTCCGGGCGAGAGGCGGGGTACACCCTGGACAGGTCGCCAGTCTGTAAAAACAATCAATCCATTTTTTAATTTGGAAAATAAAACATTTTATTGCCCAAAATCCAATAACGCAGCATGATTAAGTAAATACTTAATCATTTTTTATCAAAGGATGCATCTGCAGTTAAAAAATACTTCTGACGTGTATTTGAGTCTGTATTCTCCAGTTAATGATTAATCGATTACTAAACAGGGTGTCCGCAAATCCTTAAAACGTCTTAAATTGATGTGTCTTATATAGTCCTTATAGTCCTTGAAATGTCTCAAAATCTAAGTTGATATTAAATACATTAATCAGGGGTCTTAAATTTTTATCACGGCAGGACAATTTAATTTTGTATATGTAGTTTGTTTTTCTCATGGGACTTTTCTGTCTAGCAAAAGTATTACATTGTGTCACTCGAGGTGGTTGAAGGTACCTTCAACTATATGCCAACATATCCTGCTAGTTATTATGGATGAGTACAAATATACTGTCAGTTAGCTGAACACCAGAAATTTCCCAGTTTTTGTTATGCTTGGTTATAATCCATCAGGATCCTTTATGTTTACAGTTTTTTAAGTCTTAAATCTCATTCAAGGTGGCATCAAAAAGGTCTTAAATTGGACTCTGAAAACCCACAGATACCCTGCTAAATTAGTCCAGTAATCGACTCGTCACGAATAATCCGAAAAATCGTTTCATTCCCGAAAAATGAGTCGGATCTCTTTTCTGGCAGGCGGCTTCATGTTTGAAGGCATGTCAGATGATGAGGAGGAATTCCACTCGGTAAGTCTTTTCTCACACCTCATACAAAGACAATTCACTCCATTCCAACACTCCCATATTGCAATGGATACGGATGTGGGCTGATTATTCGAGTGTGTGTCAACAGGGGAGTCCGGCAGGCCCCTCCAGCCGAGCCGGGCTCCCGCCAGGAATGCGGCCCGTCTCACTGGGCCACAGCGGAGCGACGGGGCCTCGGCCGATAACGCAGAGCGAGCTCGCAACGGCTCTGGCCCTAGCCAGCACGCCAGACAGCAGCGCCGTTACCCCGACAACATCGAGTCAGGTTAGACGGTGAAAACCGACCCGGATTTACTGCCTCCTATTCATCAAGAGGAGAATACTCGTTCCTGCAAAAACCTGGCAGCGTTGCGACTCTGTTCTATCTTTTTCTTTGATTAAGATGGACCCCTCCAGTGGCTCTGCCCCGATGCCAGCTGGCACACCAGTCAGTAATGATCTCTTCAGCCAGGCTCTGCAGCAAGCTCTGCAGGCCACCAACATGTCTGCTCTACAGGTGAGCTAACCCACAGTGCGCTCATTTCTTCTAGGGGATAATGAGAAACAAAATGTTAACCAGGTGGCGTTTGGATAAAAGGTTATTCTTTCTGAACACGTTTTTTTTTTCTGTTTTTCTCTTGCTTTGCCAGGGCCGTTGGCAGTCCCAGCTGCAGCAGCTCAGGGACATGGGGATCCAGGACGAGGAGCTGATGCTGAGGGCGCTGCAGGCCACAGATGGCGATATCCAGGCTGCCCTGGAGCTCATATTTGCTGGAGGCCCCGGACTCTAAGCCCTTACCTCCCACCCGGACCCCCCTACGGACAAAACCCACAGTAGAGGAGAGAGCAGGAAAACATCTGGCTCACCTGACTGCCAACAAATGAGGACATTTACGACTTGCACTGTGTGGTTGTTGTTGCTGTTGCACCATTCGGTTTTAATTAACAGCCAGAGCAGTTCAAATTGCGCTCCACAGATTGTATAAACTGATGTTCGTGTTGATTTGATCGATCATTTCTACAAATGTGAATGAGCTATAATAAAGCTGTTTAAAACTATCTACGCCTTATATTTAAAGGATTTAATGTACATTTAATTTTTTTTAAGCTTC